TGGATTTGGATCCTTACTGCACACAAGCACCTACAATTTGTCAGGACTCTGTCAGCGGTTCTCGTTCTTCCTCACAGCTCATTCAAAGTGGATTAAAACATCTAAGGAGGTAATCAGACCTTCTAACACAAAACAGAAAGCCTATATGCCCGACGACTCTCAGCGAAGTGTAACCAATAACTGTTCCATTTGCAAGATGCAGCTGAGCTTGAAATTAATACAAATCTCTTTTATTTCAAAAACGAAGGCTATGAATTGCCAGCAGCACTTCCAGGTGATCTTAATGTATACCAATTAGACAGCTTGCATTGAATAGCTCGGCTTTGGCTGTGTTTGATGTTTGACCTCTTGGGATCCTTGAAAATCTGCTGCAGTCCCCCGTGGGATCCTGATGAGTGGCGACCCAAACAAATGAAAATGTTTATCGTCCTTTTATCAAATTAACCACTCTATTGCACAGTTAATTGTTTATTAAAGGACTTAAGATGGAATCACATAATTAACCTGGTACCGGTCTTAAGCTTTTTTCCAATTAGGAAATGCACTGACTCGTGTCATCTGAATGATGTCACTCCTATGAAACTGAAGCTACAAGAACTTTTATTCATGTAATTTTTTTCATATTTGAAGTTGGACATCAAAAGCCAGTCTTTTCCTGTTGTATGGTCCGCTCTCTGTTAATCAGAACAGCCACAGCACCCCCTACCGTTCAACACTTTTCATGACTATCCTTAAATGCTCACATTTGATGGAAATAAAATCCCAAGACTGGATCATTTTCATATTTAAATTATATTGTAAAAAATATATATATTTAATATTTTTCTCATTTCCTCAAAATTTGGTAACGGTATCCAAAATACAATAAGTGCTAAATTTTATAAAGAAACCCTGCAGACAAGAATGATACAATGGCTACATCCCAAATCTGAAAAATGCTGCATACGCAGAAAGAAACTCATCGAGGCACATCCAACTCCAGTGTTTGCATAACATCCTATCTATTCGGGTCATTTGTGGTTAATTTGAAGGCAGCATAGTGTACCCTTTGTTGCCTGTGATATGCCACAATCCTGTGTAAGCAGTAGATAAGAAAAGAAAAGAAAACAGCGGTTCCTGGTGAAGTTATGAAGTAAATTAATTCATAAATATCCACTTTTATTAGAATGGTCACACTTTATTTTAAGGTCCAATTCTCGCTGTTAGCAAACCATTAACTACGACTTTTGCATCAATAAACTCCTAATTTGCTGCTTATTAATAGTTAATAAGGAAGTTGTTAAGTTTAGGTACTGGGTAGGATTAGGGATGCAGAATATGTGCTTCATAAGTATAAACAGACAATATCTTAATAGGCATTCTAATATGCAACTAGTTAATAGTGAGAACTGGTCCCTATGCGTTACCATTAGAATTTTATTTCTACTGAGAAATAAGTGTTGTAATCATCAAATATTTGTTTGGTTATGTCTAATGCTCACTTGAATTTGGTTTGGATTTTTACAGTGCCTTGGAAGATTTCTTAGAAGGTGCCTTCATACAGAAATTCTGATTAGTAGCCTAATTAACTGACTGAGCAGTGAGATAGACAAGCAGCAACTTTTCATTTTAGTAATGATCAGAAATTTGTCATACAGTATATGCTGTACAATTCCAAAGCACATAACTAACCTCTGCTAGAGTGTCCTGATTATAAATGGACATGCCATTTTCAGTGAAATGGCAGTTTACCATCTTAGTTGATGCAAAGCAAACATGCATACTCTATCAGGAAAAAAAACATGCAAAATTTGTACATTCGAGGTGCAGACACAAATTTTGGTGACATGTTGTGAACAAAAAATTGTTTGTCTATAGTGTACGATTGTCAGACTCTCCGTGTCTCAATGTTCATACTATCCATCCTAAATAGTATGTGAGATTAGAATAAGTGTGTCCCAAAGCATAGTATGTTGAAAAGAATATGCCAAAGGTCCCCGGATGGTCTACTATTTCAATTCGATTTTTGAAGTGTGGATCCGTGCACACTTTAATGGCTAAAATTGCCCACAATCCATTGCGCTTTGGCGAAGGATTCGGTCTAGAACTACAAACACGAATAAAACGCGTTAGAAAAACTACAAACGTGGCGGATGCGCGCGATCAGACGGTTAGGTAGAGAGGTTTACAAAAAGGGGTTTGAGTTACTAATAATCAACATTTAACCTGGTAAAAAATATTTATTTATTGTTATCCGTGTTATATTTCATCTGCAACAGTAATGTGAACTTTTAAAATGATCC